CCTGCCAGTCCAACGGGGAGCCTGCTAGTCCGACCGACCTCCCAACCCGGAAGAGTAACAGTCAAGCAATTATTGTGCTATTAATTATGTATTTAATTTCGTATTAATGTTGTAATTAATTAGTCATTATTATCGGTAACGGTTACGATTTGTATACGCCTATAAAAGGCGGGTTGTAATTCAGATTAGGGGAGACGATTTCTATATGCTATTCTTGGCAACTAAATCTCCTAGCTACTTTCCATTCTCGTTCTTTATTTCCTAACTCCTACTTGAGTGTCGTACGTAGCTTTCCTAAAAGCCTACGAGCGTCCTATTTTGGAACAACAAAAGAAGAACAGAAAAATAAATAAATTTGATATCTAGAGTTTCTTAGTTGACTTACTATATCGTAGAAATCCCTGGATGTTGCTTGTTGTGGTGCTGTAGAACGCCCCTAACCCCCTCTCTGCACTCTTCTCTATTGGGTTGCTCAGTTGCTCTGTATTGTGCAGACAAGCTGGAAATTGGTAAAGTCCTCTCTCGCTGGCCGTTAATGATTATATATACATATAATTGGATTTATAGATGCAAGAGTGTATGACCTTTGATCTCTTCTATGGATGGCCGATTTAATTTGAATTAAAGAAACGAGACCTTTGGTGTCTTCCATGGCCAGATAATTTAATTCGAGCAACAGAAGCCTAAGCGGCAACTAAAACTAAGCGGCAACTAAAACTCTTCGGTGTCTTCCATGACTATGTTCATTGATCTACTTAATTAACATGCGGTGCGAACGGGTCTCGTCTGCCCTCGAGACAGATCCTCCGCTTTCTTGAGGCCTTTGGAACACTTTACCACCGAGGCGGTCATGGACCCCCGGGGATCACGTGCTCCTCCGAGCCTGTCGAGGGCGGAGGTTTGGGGCCTATCTTTGTTCGCGCCGCACTGGTCCCGGGACCGAACCTCCTGGGAAGCGGTGTCCTGAGCAACGACCCCTTCGTTATTTCCGATTCTTGGAACCAGGGGTACGAAGGGGGCGGAAGTGGCGGGCACGGAATGTCATTCTCCCCAACGTGGGCCTGAGGTGGCACCAAAGCCCCGAAGGCTCCAGGGTTCTGGGTGAGAGTGTGGATGAAGGCAGAGAAAGCCGATTTTACATTGATAGTCAGGACCGGGGGGCTAACTTGGTTTTCGCTCCGGTCCTTCCTACGGGTTTCGAGTCTGACACGAGCATCAGGAGCATTCATCTAGAGCTGAAAGCGCAGGTCAGTAGCGACCTGCTCCATTTGAGCGAGGGCTTCGCCTTTTTGGAGGCTTCGGCGGTGTTAACCTCACCGAGGCCTAGGTTTTTGTCTTCGAGGGTCTTGGATTGACCGCGAGTTCTTCCCATTTTGGTAGGTGTTTTTGTGTTTGGTGAAGGGGAGGGCTTCTTACTTGATTGTTCGGACCTCTCAATGACAGCACCAAATGATGGATAGTGTACCCGGGGGTAGCTTATCCGAAGGGTTATTATAGAAAATAACTTAGAGAGAGGTCAGAACAAGTAAGAGAAAGAGAGAGTATGTATTCGATATATGAATTGTGTCGTGGTTTACAATGGGAAACTTGGCTGCTATTTACAGCAGTCATAAATGCTAGGTCTAATCAACGAGGGCACACGTGTCAAGCAACCAGCGGTGGAGGGTCAACTCAACTAGGGTGGCGTCGACATAACATGTGACCGCATTCAATGCGGTGGTTCATGTGTGTCGTTTGTACTTGATGCGGTGATTCAGCGCATGTGGAGAGGAGATCCTGTTGAGAAGAGCGCCATCGGCTGTACCCACCGGGGCCGAAGGCTCTACATACCGGGGGGTCACTATGTCCCGAAGGTTGTAGGTGCCGAAGGCTTGTATTTCAAACTCTGTTCTCTAGTGATTATTCTGGACTAGGTTTCCTGAGTTTAAAGCCTTCGGGCGTGGTACCGAAGGCACACCTTGAGCAGTATGGGCTGCCCGGAGTCTCGTTTGGTGGGCTTGGGCCATTTGGACCTGTTGGGCCTGATTGTTGTAGTGGAAGTATGTGGGTCGAGGGGTGCCTGGGCCATATACTCCATCACAATATATGATTGAAATCACTTTATGCTTATAATGGCTACCTTGTGTGCAATGAAAATTAATAAAATCAGGGACAATCATTGAAAAAGGTTGACATTTTCCTCCATCACCGCATTGATACGCGGTCAGTTTCAATCTGGTTTGAAGTTTGTGATATGAGACGAAGATGGACGAGCAACTGAGTTTCTTTTGAATATTAAATACAAAGAAGATTACAATAATTTGTAGTTTTTCGTGAGAGCCGTGGACATGCATACATGCATGCATATTTAATCGTATAAAGTTTTATATTTATTTTCTACTATTTATCTCTTAGTTTGGTATGACAATGACATCTTATTTTATTTAATATTTTTAGTTACAAGTTAAAAGGACAAACTTGTAAAGTCACTTATTTAATTATTTATTAGATTCATGTGAGGCTGCACTGAAGTAAAAAGTTGCTTCAATTATACCGCACAACCGCCTGCGCGACTTGCATAATATAGCCGGTGGCGATTTCATAATTTTGTTGAAAATCATTGCTTCTTTTAAATGAGCATTAATGCAATTTTGATGAGTCCCAAACATATTCTTTTGAGTATTAGGAGGCTAACAATGAGTATCGTGATCTCTGTTTCACATCTTCTAATTCATCATCTTTTAATTATTTTTTGTTGGGAGAACTATCAAATAAGCCCTCGAACTTTCATAAAAAGTACAAATAAGCCCTTTTACAGGAGGCTTTGTCCGGCTGTCCCCATTTGGGGCGTTTTCCGGTGGAATTTTTTGATAATTTTTTTAAGCATTTTCTTCATTAAGTCTAGTTTACCCATACCAAAGTTCAGCTAAAAATTCAATCGAGAAGGGAGTCAAATGATTTTCTGAAGTATAGTGTGCTGCCTAACTACGCAGTTATCTTCAAAAATTCATTTGACTGCTTTCCCAATTAAATTTGGTATGAGTAAACTAGACTTAATGAAAAAGATGCTGAAAAAAATCATAAAAAATTCCACCGGGAACCGCCCCAAATGACGACGGCCGGACAGAGCCTCCTATAAAAGGGCTTATTTGCACTTTTTATGAAAAGTTCGAGGGCTTGTTCTCCCTTTTATCTTTTATAAAAAAATATTAAATTATGTCTATAATCAATTCCAAGTAATTTCAAAATATGTGAATCAAAATTAGTATGATACTTTGAAATACACATCGATATAACATTTTAAAACGAGCATAAATAACTTACAAAATGAGTATTCGAAAAAGAATAAAAAACTCATTTGTGTATGCTCATTGATTTTAGGCGTTATACTCATCTGAGTTTAACACAAAAATCATTTCTAATGTGCACAACAATCATTTGTGTATGCTCATTCCTTTTAGAAATTACACTCATTTGAGTTTAACATTAAAGTCATTTCTATAAAATGGCAGATGTAATAGATTTATTATAAAAAATTGTAGCAAGAGGCAGCAAGTGAGAACCGAACATGGCGGAGTTGGAGGCAGACGACCAAGTCTCGCAATCATCGTTGCGTCGGTCAATTGTCATATGCGGTTTGGACCGCTTCACAAGTTGGAGACTTGGGCACTTGGCCGCTCGGGAGTCGGCGTTCGCCGTCGTGAGTTCGTCCTTGTTTCAACCTGTCATTTTAGTTGTCCTTGTTGATGAGTTGCAGAGCGCATATTTAATTATAAAAATGTCAGACTGTATGATGCTCATTGTACAGTCAGCTGTACGATGCTCATCGTACAATCAATGTATGATACTCTCCATACAACCAATTGCACCATATAATTTTTCCAATAATAACCACCGTTATTATTTGATGTCCATTTGAAATCCGGCCAATATTTATTCATCAGTTGTACTACTTGTTTATACTAATATACTACTACCTCCGCCCCCCTAAGTTTGGGACAGAGAGATGTGGAGTGGGTTTTAAGAAAAAATGAAATTGTGTGGTTGATATTTAATTGATAAAGTGTGAATAAAGTAAAAATGGATTCTAACCACTCAAATATTATCAAATATGGTATGAGACAAACTTAATGGGACAGACGAAAAAGGTAAAACGGGACAAAGTTAGGGGGACAGAGGGAGTATTATATTTAGATTCTTTTTGGTAGCACGAAAATCGGCTGATTTGGCATATTCAGATTAAATTTATAAACTTCTGGGTGAAGTGGCTGTATTGGTTGATTCTTTGATATGAAATTATTTTTTTTAAAATATATTTTATTATTAACATAAAGAAATAATTATATGTAAAAATAACTAAAATGTTCATCTACATTAACTTCGGCCAATACAGCCAGAAAAGTAAATTCAACCTTATTCTTTCTGCTTATTACACAATTCAACGCGCGATAACAAAAGTTAGATGTTTGGTCAAAAAGTTGGCTAATAAACTTAGCTGATAAGCCAAAAACAACTTTGCCAAACGACCTCTACAGTATTATACTACGTACTAAACACATCTCCCTCCGTATTTAATAATTTTGCCAAATTTGATCGACACGGAGATTAATAAAGTAAAAACTTTGTGAGTAGAAAGAGAAAATTAAGTGAAAAAGCAAATTACAAATTTTTTAACTTTGGAAAGTAGCAAAGTAAATGAGTTTTCAAATTTATAATACACCGAGGGAGCAAGTATTACACGTTAGAGTTCCGCCCTTTGCAATAACAACCATTCTTGATGTACACACCTTATACACACCATGTTTGTGAAGCTTTTTTTTTTGTCTGTGAATTCGGTTCACAGACAATATTTTGTTTGTGCAAAACATTGTCTGTGAATCGATGTTCACAGACAAAAAAAAGCTTTCACAGACATAGGTGTGTACAAAAGTGTGTATAAAAGTGCTTACAAAAGTCATTTTCTTTGCCATAAAACTATACGGTTAGCCACGCCAGAATCCCAAATCTCTTCGCCTGTTTCTTCCCTCTCCCGTTTGTTGACTCTCTTCCTCTTTGAACTTTGAAGCTGGTTATGACAATGGCTAAGCAAAGTCTGAAAGAATGGAAGGAACAGAGGGCAGCACATGCTTGCGATCTATTTCCAAAGGAATATGATTTCCTTAGGGTTTGTTCCTGCCTGGAGTGCCGACAGAAAATAAAGATGCTCAAGGAATTTGAAGAAGAAATGAAGTCTAGGAGAATCCAATTAAAGGTATGTTGAAAGCAAAAACATATACATCGAACACATGCTTTTGGTTGAACTGTTGGCTATAAATACTGCCTTTTCTTTGAACAGGAATGTTTGTATAGGCTGCAAGTCATGCGTATTCATTGTGTGCATCTTTCAACCGTCCTTGAGTGGACGAGAAATACCTTTGATTTGCTTCATAAAGTTCTTGAGCGGGTATCCTAGGAAATGATATCTTCTTATTTCAAACACGATTAATTTGGTAAATTTTCTAATGATTAATTTGGTTTGTTTCAGAACTCTGGGCCTTGTTGACACAAGAAGAAAGTAATTTGGCTGCTGACTTGAAAGCTAGAGATTTGAAAATAGTCAGATTGCTATTAAGCAATTGCGTTCTTGATAGTTTTCCCGATGAAATTGATCATCTTAAATGTGAGATTTCTGTTGCGGATCAGATTGATCGTGGGGTAAGATGATAGCCATATCAGCCATAAAATTTTTCTGTTAGAACATTAATTCTTAATTATCTGTCTTTTGAACAGTCAATTCAGTGATTTACCACTTTTATGCTAAACTTTAACCTTGGCAGCGTGGCTTAAGTAACAACAATAAAATGCAATTTAGTCCAATGAATACTTTCATAGATGAGACTTTGCTATGAACATAAGTATGTAACTTGATTTTCTGTTTTTTATTTGTTTTTGTTCCTTGGTTCTTTGCCTTGTTGCTCGGTCAATTTAATCCCACTATGTATTAAGTTTTTGTTTCCAACCTTTTTTGTCGACTTTTCACAGCTATATTTTTACAAACGAACCAAATTTTGGGAGGATGCCTCTTCTCATCTTAAAAGGATGCAAGATATTGAAAGAGACATGGTCAAGAAATCTGTTGAAGAAGACCACAAACAGCTGGACCACTTATTTTTCCAAAAGTGCATAAAAGAGCAAATTGAGGTATCTAAGCTGCCACATTCATACTTATAATCATAACTAGCGGCGTACGCACTATGTGCGACTTGTGCCCAACGTATTAGTGAATTATTACATACGTAGTATGTTTGATTGTTTTGCTATGATTACATATGTGTAATTAGTTTGAGTTATATACATATGAATACTTTTGGTTAATAAAACCAATATAATAGAAAATTGAGAGTTTGCACACAATGTGTTGGTTAAAACAAGAATGAAATAAAATCAACTGAAATCAAAGTTCTGGCATGTTTGATCCATAAGAATTTTAAATTATTCTAATGTACTTTGTCATAACCTCAAAGACTCGGTTTTTATATGTAATGTAAGGCATACATGCTTTATAAAAGTAAACATGTGAGATTTTGTGATGGTTGAATGGAATATTTTATGCAGCGTTAGAATCAATGGTTTTGTGCGGCTTTAGAACCAATGTAGTCATTGAAAAGAAGCAAAAAAATACTTCCTTATGTATGGCAGCATGGCTAAGTATTAGTTCCATGACTTCCATCAATGACTATCAACGACTATCAAGATGAAGCCAAATATTCATTGTTTCAACCACAATTCCATGAAAGTACAAAAGTTAACCAAAATGGGCAATAGTGTATTTAAAATTTCAAGCTTCATTGGTGCCAAGAGATGTAGTCATGAACACACCCCAAAAAATTCCCAGAGAGAACTGAAAAACGAGAAATCCTTGTTATTTGATGACGATGATGGTATTTGTGTGTGTGCATGAGAAACCATTTTTTATGTTTTATTATTATTGTTATTTAGTGTAATGGATTGCTTTCTTATTTGGTGTACGATTTTTGTAGACACAAGAAGAAACAATATATTTTCACAAAGGATCTTAGAGGTGTTTTTAGTAGAGGTCATTGACCAGGCTGACCCGTTGGGTCCAGGTTAGCCTTTGACCCAATAATTTGTCCGGGTCACCTGGTCAGGTTTTTACAACATAGTAAAAAAGTGCTAAGATTTTTTATAAGAAAGAATATACACTCCACTTTACATTTAATGCCTATTAACTTTGAAAAAAAAATCTCCCAGAATGTCTGAGTATTTTTTTGTGTAGTGGACATGTAGAGGACATGTTCATTAATGAACGGAAGTTACGGAAAATGAGAAAGAGTCAAGGCTAGGAAATGTCTAAATAGTCAATGTTGGGACAGAGACATATCTATATTCTAAATACTAAAATATATTGTAAAAGAACACATACTTATCTATGTTATCGATTAATAAAAACACTCATTTTAAAAATGGTATAAAAAGGAATTATGATGTTCGTATCCACCTATATGGCTATATACAAGCAAATATCTGTAAGTTATTTGAGAAACGAGCTCAGCACTAACGAGAGTCATGGATCATGAAAAAGCACACTACAATTTTGTTGTTTATAACTGCGCGGATACAAAATGGAGCAATAACAATTTGTACATTCTATGGTTAAAAAAATTAAAAGGGTAACAAACTGAAGAGCACAAGCAATAAACATGAAAAGAATGGACTTTATAATAAAGTATTTGCTTAGTTAATTCTTTTTTAAAGAAAAGCACTTTAATTTGCAGTTTTCTGAACTAAACGATATCAACTGAACCTACAGCCTGCACTTCTCAAAATGAGTGAGAATTAATACAGTTAGCGTCAAGAAGGCATGCTATAAGATCCAATGTTTTGGTTTTATCTAGGGCCAATTTTGATTTTTTTAGTGTTGATAGAGACGGTATTGGGATAAATGATGATTATTACAAACTTTAAATAAGGTTGTGACTATAAAGTTTTGAAATTGTATGAGATTAAACTTAGTATAATAATTAAGTTTGTGAAGCTAACTTTTAAATTTGCCAACACATAGTAAGTAGTGGATGATTATTTTCATATACCTGGAACAATAAAATAAAAAAGTATGTAAAATGCAGAAGACTGGTGTTTGTTTTATTATTGTTAGGACATTTTACAATGACTTATTTTTGCGAATTAATGTAAGCATGACAGATAATTTTATGAACAACATAAGAGGTATTTTATCGAATATCATGTAGGCAATAAGTAAGAATAATTGTAAAAATCTCAAAAACCGACACTCCATATCCCCCAAAGTTGTTCATCCAGAAGTGGCGTTTAAACAAATGATGAAATCAGTACTGTATGAGTGATAAGATCAATTAAGTTACATGAACAAAATTCGCTCCAGGCAAAAACGTATGTTTGTTTCAGAGATTTAAACAGCTTGATGTACTACAATAAAAGAAGCATAAAATTTGAATAGATGAGGTGAAGGGAATACCTTACGTAAAGAGATATTTTAGCAAATGGAAATGCTTAGAGGAAAATACCGCCATCAGAAGAATGTACTCTTCTTGAGCAGCGGTTCCTACTTCCAAGGCCGTTAATCACATTTAAATGGACGCTTAGGTTGAAGACCTGTTGTTGGAAGCAGCGTTAAGTTTTATCTAACTCCGTTACATGCTTAGACAGAAAAAGGACTATACTAACCATTTTTTTCTTTTCTTTTATTATATAAGCAAAGACAATAGAGATAATATTATTATTAATATTATTATTACTATTATTGTTATTATTATTATTATTATTCTTCTTATTATTATTCTACATCAATTGTCTCTAATTGCACCATAACTGCTATACATTCCTAATTGTAGTGCATAATGTTGTTGCCCATAAAAGAAGTGCAGCGTGAAGTTGAAGAAGTGGTGGCTAAGTTTTTCCCCATCATTGAGTGCAAGGACAAAGAGCGTGAGGACATGGATAGCATTCTCGGAAATCTAATAAGTGATATCCAAGATACATGTCTTCATATGATAAGAATTCGGAAAAAGTTCTGGCAAAAATGTCGGAAGGTATGTTGTATAATATAATCATTCCAAATATGTATTGTCTATATCACTGGACCCATTTATGTCAAGTGTTTATGACTTTTCATTGCTAAAGGTCTGCATGACTGTTCCAGATATAATAAGCAATTGGCTAAAAACGTACTAGAGATTGGCTTTGACACCTACTCCGACTAGACTCCCTCTGTATAAAAATCTCAGCAGCAGATCTAGGAGCAAATAATAACTATACATTTTCTTGGTCAACCCATCCACATATACCACCCCTGGGCTGTTAGAAACCTCCAGAATATACACAAATTGCAGAGATTATATCAAGAAAAATGGAAAATCTTCATTGAAGGAGTAGAACAGTAACAATAACAAAGGCCGAAGCCTCCCAAAGAGAAGAGAAAGTGATTCTCTAATCTTTCCCAGTCCCAGACCAAAGTCCCAAAAAGCCTCCTCTAACCCCCCCTTACATGTCTATTTATACCAGAATACTACATAAGCCCTTATTACTATTATTATTATTATTCTTTCTATTATTAAACTAATAGGTAGGTCCCTATCAATACTCCCTCCCTAAACATCCACCTTGCCCTCAAGGTGGGCGGTAGGAGACAACCAACATCTTCTGCTTTTTTTTTCTTCCTTGCTCCTCTTCCTTCCCAGTACATAACTGTTTGCTGGACCAGAAGCTTTGGTATTTGTTCCTTCATAATCACTGCAATTTCCCTTGTTGCAGAAGCTTCCAAGCATTCACCAGTTGCAATTGTTTCCTTGTTTTCTTCTTCAAGGATTCTCACTTCTGAAGCTATCAATATACTGGATGCATATTTGATGTAGTTCAAGTTACTCAACTCATTGTCTGCAACAAGCCCTATGCAATTTTCTCCATTTACAATCCACTCTGTCAGGCAGTTAGTATCAATGATAGAATCATTTGTAGTAGCAGGATTTGTCTCATACAACTTCAACGACCAACATAAGTTGTGCACTACATTGCTACCATGCGATGTCAGATTCTCTAACTGCCAAGGACCCCAATCTGGCCAGTTTTCTTCTTTCCATTCACTTATAAGAGAGCCAAAAACTCTTGCAGCCATAGAACGAACTTCAGGGACAACAACAAACTCCTTTATGTTATAAACCTGTCCTTCAACATTGTTGCCAAGAGCAAACTTATCCTTTATTATCATCCCAGGATTGACCTCTGAATGAGTGAAAATTGATCCTTCAATTGCACTAGTTTGTGGCTCATTATTCACCAATCGCATTGCTAAGGCATCCCAGAATAATTCAAAGCCTTCACCCACCAGATTTTGGTCTTGACTTTGAGTATAAGCAGCACGCTTCTCCCTCCATGGAATTGATAAGTATTCTGTTTCAGCACGAGCAAACACTCCTGTCCTTTTTGACTTATCTGCGTTAGTGACTTCCTCCTCCAGCTCTTTCAATTCTGACAACTTCAACTCAGTGTTTCTTGCCAATGATGAAGAGCCTTGTAATCCTTTTTTTGAATCGACTAAGTTTATGGTTCCTGAAATAGATGACACTTGTGAACGACATAGGATTCCAACAACTGTACCTGCTTCAGTTCCTCCTGTTACAGAATATTGCCCATTCTTTTCCTCTTCCGGTAATTCCTTGATTATTAATTCCGAGAACTTCAGTTGGGTTTTCTTTATCGACTGGTGATAATCTTGTTGAGAAACGTTTAAAAAAAGCACTGGCGAACATGAATATTCCTCTCTTGATCGTGTTGCCCTGTTATGTGAATTCATCGCGATTGGGGATGCCTGCGGATTAAAATCTGTTGTTGTTGTTCGCAGCTTGCTAGCGATAATTCCTGCGAACGGAATGAAGAAGTTCGCGATTGCGAGCTAAGAAAAACCTTTCGCGACTCTGTTTGCGATCTTGGGAGTGGTGGTGACGAACTTACTTCGTAATTTATCGGAGAGAGACGATAAGAGCGATGCGACGAACCTTGTTTGTCAGGTAGCGGAAAAGACCTAGTTTTCCTCGATCGTTCCCCAGATTTTCTGCGATGTCTCTGTTCTTCGGATTCTTCTGAACTTGCTGACTTTCGCGTGTGATGATGAGAGTCGCGATGTGATGATTGTGACGCATGCGATTGGTTCCGCGACCGACTTTGAAGTTTGTTTATCATGTCCGCGAAGCCAGCCTGCATAGCGACCATCATCATCTTCATCTTTTCTTGCGACGCGACCATACTCGCTTGTGTCTCCCTCATAATTCTGTCAATATTATCAAAACTCTTTTCCATTTGTGGTGTCATGTAGAAATCCTCCTCCATGATTCAGATTCTTTGTCTCCAGGATGTAACAGCTCTGATACCAATGTTAGAAACCTCCAGAATACTGCTTTTGGGTTTACTGCTTGTTTGATCTTTCACCTCGAGTTTTAGTTTTGTGTTCGAAATTTCTCCGGTCAGGTTGAGTGAATGATTTGAGGGTTCTGGTTTGGTTTTGTTTTGCTTTGACCGGAGGACCACCTGTCTCCTCTCAGCCGGAAGGTTTTGCCCCTGTTCGGACCTGCGATCTTCTTGATATCCAAACTGATTACCACTGCGCTTGGCCTCCGGAGAGGGTAGGGAGTGACGATTGTGGGAAGGAATGGGGAAGAGGGAGTTTCTGGAACGACGTTAGGGGTCTCTTCTTTCTGGCGAGAAGTTTGGCTTTGGTCTGAGGTATGAGAGGGTTGCTCTGTTCTTTTTTAACTCTCGGCTACTGTTGGCATGCCTTCAATCTGCCGAAGCATCTACGCCGCCGGGGGTTGCCGGGACCCGGCGGGGAGGGGGTGGATTTTGGGGTTTTCGTGCCGGCTTTTAGTTACTTTCCGGCTGGCTACTTTTACTCCTCCGCCGATGCCGCTGGGTTGGCTGCCGGAGCCCGGTGGGGGTGGGTGGGGATCGTCGTTTGGGAGGTGGCAAGTTCACCGTCTGAGATTTGGGTTTCCGTTGGTCCGCCGCCGTTGTTTGGATGCTGCTTCGCCGGAGAAGACGAGGAAAGTCCGACGTCATGGCTGACGCAGCAACTGGCGTCCTCTGATTGGCCAGCTGGTTTCTGACAAAGCCCTTGACCGTTCTGTCGATTACTGTTGAAACACGTGGGATTGTTTTTCTTTTTTTGAACCGATGCGGCGCGGGTATGCCAAGGCTGGAAGACTTCTCCAAACCCTAGGCCGTTGCTGGGTTGCGGACGATAGTGGGCTGGGCTTCGCTGATGCTGAAGTTAATTTGTGGACCGCATTTTTGCTGTTGATTTTTACGCTGGGCTTGGGTTTTTCCGAACCCAGTTCATGGGATGGACTGTTTTGATTGCCTTTGGACTGTTTTTTGCTGATGGTTTTTGTTACTAAGCCGGGGATCTGTCCCGTGCTAGTTGTTGGACTTATTTTCTGCTACGTGCCGGGGCCTGTCCCGTGCCGTTTTGACTACAAAATTTTCTCTCTTCCCCCCTTACCGCGAGGTGAGGGGGGGATACGGTAGATACTTTTTTAGGTTAGCCTGCTAGCTTAGATAGTTTTGATGCATTGTACATGCTACTTTTTTGGATCTATATACTTACATTTTATCCAAAAAAAAAAGAAACCTCCAGAATATACACAAATTGCAGAGATTATATCAAGAAAAATGGAAAATCTTCATTGAAGGAGTAGAACAGTAACAATAACAAAGGCCGAAGCCTCCCAAAGAGAAGAGAAAGTGATTCTCTAATCTTTCCCAGTCCCAGACCAAAGTCCCAAAAAGCCTCCTCTAACTCCCCCTTACATGTCTATTTATACCAGAATACTACATAAGCCCTTATGCTCTCTCCCTCTTCTCTCAACTTCCTGGCCAGTCCGCCAGGGTTCATCCAAAAAAAAAAACTCAAAGGCGTGAAGATTGACATTTGAAATTGAGATACTTAAAAAAAACAGAAACAGTTGAGTTCACTTAATGTTGCTAATCTTGCTATGTTGGGCATTATTTGTCAGCCCTCTCAAGTTATTTGGTTTAATATTACTTTGTGTGTTTTGCTTTTATATAGATTTTTTGCAACTTAAATTACACTTTTTTTAGTTGATTTTGTTTATAAAATTTACATGTTTGCGAGTCTTCTTATAACCAAGAGTACCTATAATGCAACCATGATGCTGTTGTGCATACGTGGTATGAAAGTGAGACAGAAGCTAATTAATACTACGTATAATTTTGTGGATAATCTTTTAATGGGGTTTTCTCTTGGTAGATAAAAGTCCACATTTCATGGATTTTTTTACAAACTTATAAACATGAATCAAGGTTAGGCTAATTTGGGTATAAAAAATTTGTTGGTGGTAACATCACAGGTTTGTATATTTGTACCGAAAGATTAATTTTTATACTGAAATGTTTTGTCTGTTTCGCCATCAAGACGTATGTATTCATCCCGTTGACTGGCCTCCACAATTTCTTTTCATTCTAGCGCATCGAACCCAGCGGTTTGGCTGCTAGGTTAGGCATTGAGGGTGGCATTTGTCCCGCCTAGCCTGAAGCTCAATGCCTACGTTACTCTCAACTGTGTTGTTTCCCTTCATCACCTCCCTGCTGTCTTAGTTATTTATTTCGAAGCAGTCCTCGGTTCCTTCTAACTCCTGTGAAGCGCAAGTCACTGCATCTGAAAAGGCTCTCTCAGTTTTAATGGGTTCCCCTTGTGTCCTTTATAATTCTGCTTTCCACACTTGGCAGAGTTTTTGTTTCACTCCTCGCCAGAGTTCGATCTCCAGGCACGAGGCGAAGGCGCGTGCCTCACATAACATAACCTCATAAGTCATAGCTTTGATAATATATATATATAGAGAAAAGGGTCATATAGACCCTTGTACAATTCTCATTCCATCACTTAAACCTATGTACTTAAATAAACATCACTTAAACACTTTTACTCTTAAAAATTAATCACATAAACCATTCACCCGAATATGACTTGTTTTAACCGGTCATTGACAATTGGTAGATATTTTATCTTTTTCTTGTTTTTTCTTCTCTCTTTCTTCTTGTTTCTTGTTTCTCATGTCTTCTTCCCTCCCTATCCTAGCCTCTTCAATTTTCGTTTATTCTCTTCTTCACTCCTTTCTCCTTTTTCTTTTACCTCCTTTTCTTACTCTCACCACCTTCCATTTACTGAATCCCCCTCGACGACACCCATTTCAAGCCTTTCAGGATATGTACTTCTTGAACGGTGGAGTTACGTTGACACTTGACAGTGTCACAGTACCTCAACTTCTTCCTTTGCTTTTGATATATAAGCTCACATCGACGGATACATGCACGTAGTTGTTAATTTGTTGCTCCAAGTTGACGTCGTCACTCTAGTCGGCCACCTCCTGCGACGCAGAAGCATTGTCCCATACTCAAGAATAGTCCCGTAATTTTAGGTCTATATATGTATGTTTATATATACATACTTCGTATATAATGTAATCAAATATATTTTGAGTACAATTTTATCTTATTATATTGTTTTAAAAGTTGCCTACTAACTAATGGTTCATGCATATGTACATCAATACATGCATATATACGGCCGGAGTATTAAAAGATATGAATGAAATTAAACAAACATGTGTTAATTGATTCCAGTATACAAATAATAACCAGCTCCTAAATAAATCAAATCTTGCAATTCAAAAGACCGAAGTACAAGACAACAAGTATCTAAATTATTTATAAAAATCTAAATTAAGAGTTAGAAGAAGTTTAAAAGGAGAAAGAAAATGTTAAGAAAAAGAATGAAAGAAAAATACGGAGTAAGAAGATACAAATTTATAAGAAGGGAGAAGAAGGCATGGAAGAGGTTATGCATCTGGTGGGGGGGGGGGGGGGGGGGGGGGGGGAACAAGGGGAAAGAAGGGAAAGAAAATGAGAGAAAAAGGTAAAGAAGAAAAGGAAAAAAAGTGAAACAGGAAGTATATCACAAATCAAGAAATGACCGCTTACAAAGGGTCTACTTCCTGTAAATTAGTTGATTTGATCCATTTTTAGGAGTAGATGTGTTTATGTGATGTTTATTTTAGTATATGGGGTTAAGTGATGTATGGACAATTGTATACGTGTCTATTTGACCCTTTTCTCATACACACACACTACTTCTACATAAAGCACTATTCCCGAAAATGATAACATCATAAAAAAACCTTGAACCATTAAACAATCTTAATAAACACCTTAAGAAATTGTTATATAATAAACTGTTAATAGTAATTTAAATAATCAATAGTAACAACTGTTATTTAATAAATTGATAATAATAAAAAACTCTCATATTTAATTTTTTACATATATATAGAGCAATTAATAGTTATTTTTTAAATAAATTTTACAGAGTATGTAATAAACTGTTAATAGTAACTTTTTAACATTTAATAGATTTTTTTTTAACATTAAAAAAAAAAATTTGCCAAAAAAAAAATTTAATAGAAATTGTTTTACTAAACTGTTATATACACAGTTACTAGTAATTTTTTAACAGTTTGTTTTATAATAAACTGTTAATACTATTTTCTAAGCAACTAATAGTTAATTTTTTAATAAAATTTTATGCAATAAATATAATAAATTATTAATAATGATAAGCTTTTATTTATGATTGTTATAGAATAAAATTATAAGCTATCATAAAATAAGTGGTTATTATTAGATTTTTTTTAATTCTTAAAAGTACAAATTTAAACAATCTGATGGTACAAAACCATGTTTATAATTATAATTATTTAAATTCATAAACTTTCTGATTGAGATTAGGGTAAATTATTATATGGTTATACATTTAAATAATTTAAACTATTTATATATGTAAAAATTTATGACTAAATGAGCACAAAAATTAGAAGGGAGCAAAAAATAAACACCATACCTGCGACGCATGTCAGGAGCGGAAGACAGATGAGCGGAAGATAGGGGAAGCATATGGAGTAGCAGAAGGCAAAAGATTGGATCCATAGAGACGAGTTAGAGCTTGAATATAATACTTACCACTATTCTTATGACTATTCTGAGTGAATTACTGAATCGCAATGTGAATCGTCAAAAGGCTCAAACCAGTGAATCGCCAAAAGATTTTAAAGACACATCAGCGGACACCATCCAAGAGGCAATAGAGGCAGCCGTTTTTTATTTATTTATTTATCACTTCTTGCCCCACTTTTGAAAGGCGCAAGTAGTGGAAAAAAGCTAGGTATAAGGGGCTAATACTTGCATCTACTGTGCCTGGGACTTATGGATGTGATAAACCAATCGCCTAGCAGTGAGGCGCACTTTTTTACTTGTGTTCACTGTTTTTCTGAACATTATTGTGATAAACCCTATTTTGGTGGATGTTTTTCTTGTGTTTACTGTTTTACTGAATATTATTGTGAATGTTGTTTATGAAACACAAGTATTTTTCCTGTCTTAAGATTTAGTAAGGGTGATCAATGAAATTAGGTAAGAACAAATCTCTTCCATCTCCCTATATGAAATTAGGTAAGAAAGAGTCTGAAAATACCTACAAACTTTTTGACATGTTTAATCCATTGTCTGTAATTGCTCACTTCATGGCGCGCCTCTGCTGATTTCTAGACTATGGCGTAAAAGGCATTGCATATGACGTTGGGAGTGTGACGTACGCAATATTGCATTGAGGCGTACGCAATATTGCATACGCAATAAGGCGCTTTGAGGCGTACACAATAGGAGGTCAGGGTGTAAGGGTATCATTCAGGCCCACGCTGCCCACTTTAAATTTTATAATTGATGTTATGATCCCCATTTCAAACCACTAGGTATTGATTGGAATATTTTGTCAATCAATCTAATAGATTTATATTTTCATTTTTTAGAAATTTAGTTTTGATAAACGATTCAGAAAGTTTTGGTATTCTATGGTACTTTGAAGTTTGAACATATTACTTTGCTAGGATTATGGCCTCTTATGGTATGCTTTTATTATATTTAAAACCTGCACTTTATATACATAAGTGCAATGTTCCAAGCAATGAAAACAATAAAGAGAAGTGTCTGAGAGTTGATAAACAACCAGGGAGACACTGGGAAATAGGAATAATCCTCCAAGGTGATGATAGCAGTGGGAGGCAGGTTTTACTTGGAGGGAGTGATGATCCTAAAAAGGCAGAACATGAAGATAAAGGCCCAATGACTGAAGCTAGAAATCCAGAATTCAGTGAGGTACTGGGAAGGGAGAGGTGCCAAGATGAAGCTAAAGTTGAAGATCAAGGCGATTTCCTATCACCCACCTTGAGGACACGGTGGTTGTTCAAGGAGGGAGATATGATAGGACTCGGGCAGAATAGCACTGATAATAACAAATGAGAGATAATAATAATATTTGAATAGTTAATATAAATAGAGGTTGATGGTAGAATAGAAAGGAGGTTGGAATTATCATTTGGGCTTGGGACTTGATAGGAACCCACTTATTAGACTAGTAATAGTAGTAGTAATAAAGGTCTGGGAGTATTCAAGCATAAATAGATGGGAAGGGGGAGTTAGTAGGGAAGTTGTTTTGACTTTTGGTCTGGGACTGGGAAGTTGGAGTTTTATCTCTTTCTTTAGG